CGGCGGCCGGATCGGGGGACGACTGAGGGATTCGATCTGGTGTGAGCGTGTGAGTGTGAGTGAGGGGAGGGGTGGTGCGCGGGCCGGCGTGGGAGGAAGCAGAGAGGTGGGCTTAGCGGCAGCGCGGGGTAGGCGGCCCAGCGCTATAGCTAAAGCTGCAACGGGGGCCCGAGAGCGTGGCCCATTAGCAGTAGCGCTGGCTGTGAAAACCAGCGCTACTGCTAACGTGCACCTGTAGCGCTTGTGCTGGCCGGCGCTACTGCTAAATAGCAGTAGCGATGGGTATCTAACCAACGCTACTGCTAAATGTCTACCTATAAGCATTTTCCTAGTAGTGTCATATCACTTTGCCGGTCGACTGGAAGATGAGGGATGGCAGATCCGGCGATGGGGCGATGCGGCGGTGACAGTGGTGGCTGGATTCAGTCGCCGTGACACGGTGGTGGTGGTTGCCGAATGGGGTGCTGCGGCTGCGGGGCGGTGGCGTTGTGGTGGTTGCAGTCGATTGGAAAGACGCGGGACGGCAGATCCAACAACAGTGGAGGTGGTGGCCGGATCCGGTGGCGGGGCGACGCGGGAGGGGAAGCGGCTAGGGGTGGCTGAGTTTTGGATTTCCAGCAGTCGCGCGTGTGCTATGTATTTGCAGCCACAGCTGCCTTTTTTTGGGCTGCCCAAAAAAAATTGCGACAAAATTTACATATAGGGCTGTTGTTGGGTATGTATTTTTTGGGGTCAAAATGCCCCAAAAAACAGGTCTTTTGGCTGCTGCCCTATTATAGGTCTACTGTCGCAGAACTATTTGGTAACTTATTTCCCCTAGTAATTTTAAGCTGCTACAACATCGCCAACACTGAAAGAATGAATTCTCAAGGGGACGATTCCTCCAGAGATAGTAACATACATTGATATGCGAGAACAACATTAGTACACACCCTGATACGATCTTGACAACAAGATCACTCTCATTCAAGCTTGATTACAGCATCTTCCTTGCGTACATATACCGCGGCCCTGATTCTTCTAATCCGCCAGATTTGGAGCTGATTAATCAGATCGATCTGAATACCTACAAACACATATAGGAACGCGAGTTAATAGCCCTGTTGATTATTTAATGAAATGCTGCATGTGTACATAAATACTCCCTCCTTTCCGGTTTATAGGGCTCAATTTAAAAATCTCACCAACCAAGGTAGATGGTGAGTGGTGGAATATTTTGTGTAGTTTACAAAAACACCCAATTAATGCTTTTGTTTTCCTCAAAATTTTATGTTTACCAATGTACTAATTGTAATACATGCATGCATAAAGTACATGCATTGATCAATTTTCTCTTAATACTTGCATGCAATGATTTAATGCACCTTGAAATTTGAACATGTGATGGGGAACAACCAAATTGAGCCTTATAAAATGGAAAAACTAAAATTTTGAGATAAGCCCTATAAACCGAAAAAGAGGGAGTATAAGAGGTTTTAGAGACTTGGAGAGGGGTAGAAGATTAGAACCAATTGACATTGGCTAGACAAGAAGTGAATAATTACCAGGTAATAACATTCCCCCATCTGCAGGCTCTTCATGAGCACGCCGCGCTCGTTCACCGGGAGGATCTCGCCGGAGGAGTGCACCAGAATCACATCACTCCCGAATGTGCCTGCCACGTCCAACACGCCGGTGCTCGGCACCTCATACACACTGCCATTGATGAACACCGGCATCGTCGTCCCAGGAACTGGAAGCCATACCCACACATCATTTTCATAAGCAATTTAGCACCCATATGATCATCGCTTATATGTATTTGCTTATGGCTACGGGCTATACTAGCAAAGTAGCAATGCATGGTTTTGCTTGATGGATACGGGCTATACTAGCTAGCAAAGTAGCAATGTACAATAACTAAAACTACTACTAACCAGTTGCTTGGTAGCTTAGTTGCGATGCGTCGGTAGCCGTGTAGCCATACTGGTCTTCGCCACCGCGTGACATGAGGCCCATTTGCCGGGGGATGGCGAAAAGATCGTCTCCGCTGTCGGCGTCGTCTACCGAGAAACGGGGAGGCCCGGTGACCGCGGCCGCGGCCGCCGACACGCCGCCGCACAGCTGCCCGTACTGCATGGTGTTGTAGGGAGAGGTGCCGATGCCGTGGCAGCCGTGGCCGGCCGCGGCTGCGTTGGAGGAGAGCTGGTCCGCGTCCCCAGTGCCGCCGCAAGACTGCTGGAGCTGGCGTGCACGGCGGCGGGAGCGGGAGCGGCGGTTCTGGAACCAGTAGAACACGTTGGCGTCACGGACGGCGCCGAAGCGCTCGAGGAGGAGCCGGATGCGCGCCGTCTCGTCCTTGGCCGGGTTCACCATACCGCTGTTGAAGATGGACTCCAGGATCAGGATCTGCTCCGGCTTGGGCGCCCACCGGGACCGTGTCGTGGTCGGCTCGCCCCCCTCGCTGCTGCGGCCGCCGCGGTGTGCGGGAGCTTGGCCGTGGTTGTGCTGGTCCATGGAGAACCT